GGTGCATCAACCAATGTGGAGTCGGAAGTATTCACTGCAATGCCGCTTATCACGACGGGCACCCTCACATTGATCATTTTCTGGTCTCCAAGAGGGTTTCGTGCATGGCTTCGCGATGCCAAGTCCTCCTATCTAACGTAGGAATTTGAGGCGGGAGCTTATACTTTTAACTCTTATATTAATTAAGCAGGGCAACATATTTCATGCCCCACTGCCCAATTCGCAGCGAAGTCCCCCGTCATTAACTCCTTCACACTTCCGGTTTTCCAGTCCAGCGCACGAAACGTCATTCATTCTTTACCATATCGCAGAAAGAGGTAAGATTGCCCCGGATTCTCAAGCTTATTTCTTCTCAGTACTTTCGGAGCGTACGCGTAAACCAATCATTCTCATGTGCACAGCTCCGAATAATCGGAACAATCTACAATGCGCCGAGTGTATGGTGTCTCCACAACCAGCGCACATCTCGGGGTGATATTCAGAAATATATTTATTCACCGCCAATAAGTTGGGCTGGTCCACCATCGTTTACATGCTGTACACCAAAAACAACACAATAACGTGCACCCGCTCCGCAAGCCGGCGGTTCTAACTCGGCGGTGTGTATTGATCTTTCCCAGGTCAACTCCGTGCACCCGCAAAAATACCTAGCGAAAAAAGCAAATCAGCAATGAGTTGTGAGCTGAGCTGTGCCAAATGCATCATGACGAGTGTGTGAGGTTTGTTCTGTTCTTTAATCCATATGGAGCTGTCCATATACGAGTGTGATGTTGATGTACTCCGGAACTACCCAGTAAGTGAATTACGGTAAGGCATTGTGAAATAAAGCTCATACTGCCGAAGTAATGTGCTGCTACTTACTACTAGGCTGGTATGCTTCCAATCCCGATCTTTAACAATACCAAGTTCCGCCTTCGCATTCCCATGTGTCTCCTGCTGGCTTGTTGCGTGCGTATTGGACACGGCCAGGAAGCGAGCTGGCGGATGCCTCCGAGCTCACCACCCACAACTGGTACGCCTTCGGTCGCTCAACGTGCTCCAAGGAGAGTGTACGCGTTCAGACAATTTACTGTTAGACAGGTGATCCTACCTATGTTTTCATAACAAATATTCTCTAGGTTTTAGCCTAAACCATGACGAAATCATTCAGAAAGAACTTTTGGTTTCACTTCAATTCGTTAGTCGAGCTTGTATTCCTTCCTACATAATTAAGTTCGATTCAAATCTCAGTTCGGAACCACCCGACACTTCATGAGATGCGCAATATTGACCACTTATCAAAAAGCTTAACTGGCTGGACGCACTTAACACGGTATAAGCAAAAGAAACGTTGGCCATTTATTATACTACCTGTAATGCTCGCTAAAAGAGACATGATTTCCCGAAAAGAATGATTTTATGCAAAATTAAACTCAATTAAAATGAATACGTGGGCAGAATTATTGTTTTGGGTTCGAATTTTGCAATAACACTAATGGCTAACGAATAGATTGGTAAGGAGGGTCAAGTCGTCGAAATAGATGAAGCTAATCTGGTAATTGAAGCCGTATCATCGTGTGCGCCCCTACGAGGCTTTTTATTTTATTTATTTATTTTTTGGCTTTTTATTTTTTTTATTTTTTTTGGGGTGGGGCGCTGGACGAAGTTGTGTACACCAGAAAGACTAAGGCAAGGCTCCCACCGAAAATTATGCAGTTTATCAAGCCTCGATAAGTGGTAGGGACCTTATGAAGGTTCTTGCACGCTTATTATGTTAAATATGTTTGGTATTTATACCTGTAAACGAGATGGGAAAGAGCACACACTTGAAAATCAATCGAGCACTGCCGAGTATACACTACACGCACAGCTGGGCTAATCCTACGCTTCATTTTGCTCACACACACGAATACTATTGAAGGCGTTTAGGAGATTCGCATCTAGAGCCATATCAAGCACATGCGCGGTGTGACGGAGGATTGCCTGTACACTTCCTTGAATGGGTACATGCGGCACTGTTCGGTTGTAGCCGCGCGAGCCAGTCCATATTCATATCTGGCAGGTTTAGTTATACATCTATAATCCGAAATGAGCACGAACCTCCTCCAAACCTATTCCCAGTTATTGGGTCAATGCAGACGTCCTAAAATGTGGACATGTTATTCGGGGACCCTCCCCCCTGGAGCGGTCAACAGGGTAGGACAGGTAAACGTGGGTAAGAGTGTACACACTGCCTCCTCGCAGCCGACGAGTGATGCATAGACGAGCCCGAGTGTCAACGAAAAGTACAAGGGTAACTGCGGAAGGAAAGGCTAAAACAAGGACGAGATCAAGAAGAAGCTCCAAGCGGTCCCAGTTGAGCCATCTGCGCCACCTCTCTCAGCATTAAGGTCTCTATCAGTGTGATTCAGCGCCTACTGGCGAGTCGGGACGTCGCCGCAAGGTCTACAACAATCAAACCTGTTCTCACCGAGGCTTACAGGCTTCGGCGTGCCCAGTACGCGCTCTCCTTCCTCGACGACGACGTTGATAAGCATGGAGACGTAGTGGGCCACGCCTTCGACCCCTTGCTCAACATCGTCCACGTGGACGAGAAGTGGTTCAACCACGACAAGAAGACCCGGCGATACTACTTGGAGAAGGGAGAGAAAGCACCGCAACGCCACAGACACAGCGCTCGACACATTGAGAAGACCATGTTCCTCGCTGCTGGCGCTCGACCAAGGTAAAATGCGATGTGTTTTAAACCCTCTCAAAATTATTTTTTACGTGACCTAATTTTGTGATTGTGTTTTCGTGGTATCACAGATGGGACCCTCACAGGAAGACAGAGTTTGACGGCAAAATTGGACTGTGGCCGTTTGCAGAGAACTACGTAGCCGAGCGCACCAGCAGGAATAGGGCCAAGGGAACACTGTTGAGGAAGAACATCAAGTCTGTGATCAGTGAAGTGTGCAAACATTTTCTTCTCGACTATGTGTTCGTTGCGATACGCGCGAAGTGGCGGCGCAAGGACAGAGGGAAAATCATCTACGTTTAGCAAGACAACGCTACTCCCCATATACAACCAACAGATCCCGATGTACATCGGGAAGGTAAGCGGGATGGGTGGGATATTCGGCTTCTGTTTCAGCCGCCAAACTCTCCCAATTTTAATTGCCTTGACTTGGGCTACGTCTCAGCTATCCAGGCGCTACAGTACAAGACGTACTTGCGACTACTCAGCAGCTGATAGAGGTTGTAGAGGCATCGTTCAGAAACTTAGATAAACAGAAGCTTGAAAACATATTTCTCACTCTACAACTAGTTATGGAGTGTGTACTTGCCTGCAAGGGCGGCAATGTGTACAAACTGCCTCATCTCGGAAAGGCAAAGTTGCGTCGTAAAGGAAAGCTTCCTAAGTTTCTCATTTGCGATGCTGCAATTGTCAAAGAGGCCATGATATTGGATAAATTTTGCTAGACTTAATACCTGTCTAAAACAACAATTTGAAGATATATGTGTGTGCTACACTAAATAGACCATCATTCCTCAAATGTCGATAATTTTTCCGTACGGAGGTAGTAAATACAGCTGACATTTTTGTTGACGCCAGTCGCTGTGTACCTAGACGGGTATTTGCATGTCATATTATTCCTTTACGCGTACTTCGCTTGTTTTGATGGGGCCATGAAACTTGAGGAGGCCTGTGCACCTGAGGTTCGTCCCCGGCCTCCTGCCCCATCAACTAAAGGTAAATAATGTATTGTGAAAGCCTGGGCATAAAATTTTCGATTATATATCGTGCATACACTATTTTATATATTGCGGAGGTAAGCCTACAATAAGGATCCTGGAAATGATTTATATCGGTATTAGGTGTATAATGCGATACTTTGTTAACCCACCGGCGACCGTCAACCCGATTTTGCAGGGATAAGAAAAACCTCGGGGAAAAGTGCCGTTTCAAGCCACACAGGCGTGGCAACCTTTCGAGATCCCGCCGACGTGGTTCCGACTAATCAAATTACTTTGCGGATTTCGCGCGCGCGAACTCGTTCGCGCCTCGATTGGGCGTCACGCATGGTTTTACGTTTGAAAGTGCAACATGAGCGCCACATTTTAGCGCTTCAACCTAATGTATTTTTTTTGAAAAAAAGTGAGAGGTGGACCGCGCATTATCATCACCAGTAATGCGGCCATAGCGTCGCTCGTGTATTAGGCGCTCGCAGGCCCATAGCTTTTGGTGCATACCTGCACGTCTCGACTAAGGCCCCATGCGGTATGGGCTTGTCTTGGGTAGGCGTCGTGCTGTGACCAATGCTGCCCATACTTTCACGAAGTACTTTACGCGTGAACAGATGGGGAAGAAGATCATACCTTTTCCTAGACGCATGACGTTTATGAGGCGCTGAGAGCTTGTAGATGTGATCACCGGGAATTTGCTAGGCAAATATGCAGCGCGGATGGTCTTAAGCTTCTTGTATTGATATCCTATCGTACCGCCGCTGATGTTGGCGGCTAACGTCGAGCTCCAGAAGGGGATCTGCCCACGGTGCTTCTTCCGGTCTATGGCGTTGGACACACCCGGGCAAAACTGCTGTGCCAGCAGCTCTGCTAGAGACCACCCGAAAATAATAACATGACGTTAGTGATTGACATATCTGGCTGCTTATCTATAAAGAAGACTCGATCTCAAGACAATGGAAACAAATTTGATTTCGGTTTGGTGTGAGCTTATGGAGCAGCGTTGATTGTGGCCAGGTGGTTATATGTATTGGCTTTTGTATGGTCAACCTTGTCAATGTTGCTTCGCCGACTTGTCAACATTGACACGCCTGTCTTGATTTGAATACAGTGATTGTCATGAGGAGACATTGATATGTTTGACTAGGTTTTTGTATGGACTTTATGCCGTTATTGACTCCGATATGACAACATTGAGATGTTTGTCTTTGTTTCAGTATAGATCATGCAAACAAGTGGGTATATTGTTCTGTCACTCCGCAAATCTAAATTATTAGCTCAAAATGGCATGAAACTCATTCGATCGCCTGCATGTTGCGCTGATAGCGAATCGACATGGCGTTCGTCGGGCGGGCGGGGCACGGGGTCATGGAGTTCGAGTCGGCCTAGTTGGGGGCCACGGATATCGCGTCCGTGCCAGGCTGGTCGTGGGCCACAAGAGTACCGGTCATACTGGAACGGGAGCATGGAGTACATTGGGGCTAGCTCAAAACCTTGTATATGGCCGTCCGTGTTGGGCGGGAGTGGAGATGCGGGCATATTGACCATTTCGAATTTGTTGGGGGCCGCCAGCATGGCGACGGCGCCGGCCATATCGGGGGTCACACCCATGGCGTCCATGCTGGCGTCCCGGATGACATTTGACTGTGATGGCGGAGACGGCCATGATGGGGTCCTGGGGCACGACGTCTGGGTCGAGAATGTCGGCGGCCTCGGGCGTGGCGTCGGAGTGGGGCATAGCGGGGGCGTCGGGCATACCGGCGGCCTCGAGCGTGGTGTCGGAGTCAGGCATGCCAGTGGCCTTGAGCAACGAGCATGGCGGGGGCATCGGACATAACGGCGGCCTCGGGCAACAGGCATGGCGGAGGCCTCGTGAATGGCGTCCACGTTGGTCATGGCGTGACCACGATATTGGAGACACTTGAGCGTTTGTCAGCGTTTTGAGAAATGAGCTACCGATACGGAGCGGCGGCGAGGTTCGGTTCCGTTCATACGCTCACGAAGACGCGTCTGATTCCGAACCCGGGGGAAAATTGTAAGCAAATCTATTGGTTATTTTAGGAGTAATTGATGATCATTGGTGGAATCGTTGGAATACATGCGATGATTGGTGGACTTGTTTCATGGCAGCAGGATCCGCATGGCGCGAAAGTGACGAAGATCCGCACGTTGAAGTGATCGCGTGACGTGCATAACGTAGCTTAGGTGTGGAAGTCGTAGTACCTCAAACTAGATCGTCCAGCATTTTGCTTACCAACAAAAGAACCCATTTTGGCCGAGGTGCCGGACACCGGCGGCACCTGATCATAGCCGCCGGCCGTCCTAGCTTGAGGACCACGCTCGAAAGCGTGCACACCGTGGCCGAGGCCACCGCCATACCCGAGGCCGCCGACATGGCCGATGCCCCCGCCATGCCTGTTGCCCGAGGCCGCCGCCATGCCTGTTGCCCGAGGCCGCCGCCATGCCCGAAACGGACGACATGCCCGAGGATCCCATCATGCCCGACTCGACTACCCCGTGCATGGCCCTGGTTAACCCACCAAGGATGCTACGCCCGCGGTCCCCTACATGCCCGGCACCGCCTACATCCCGGCGGCTCTTAATATGCCTGGGACGGACGGCACGCTCGCCGACCTCGACATGTCCGACTTGATCATCGCGTGCTTGGCCCTGATAACCCTGGAAGGGTGGCACTCCCGTGGCTGCCGACATACCGGCGGTTCCCAACATGCCCGATATTTGCGGCTCGCGCACTGACCCCAACATGCCCGACACGGCCATCCCGTTCGCGTCCCCTGATAACTCCATCAGATTCATGGAGTAACGGAACAATACACCCACTTGTTTGCATTGATTTTTACTGAAACCAAGACAAACATCTCACTGCTGTCATATCGGAGTCAATTACGACATAAATCCATACAAAAACCTAGTCAAATAGGTCAATGTCGACATGTCTGATGTTATGTCAATTCAGTCAGATCAACACAAATATGCCAATATTGACAAATCGGCGAAGCAAAGTTGACGTGGTTGGTCATACAATAGCCAACAGACATGACCACGTGACCACCTGGCCACGGCCAACGTCGCTTCATCAAGTTCAAACCAAAATCAGTAGAAGCACGTGCCTCAGCGACTTCGGCAGAGTAGACGCCGGAAAGAAACGGCTAAAGACGATGCTTGATTGTTCTCGTCATGTATCTCTCGTATAGACCAAAGAGGTCGCATAGCAACCTAATCCAGGTTTTGTTAGCTTGTCGCCTCTGACTCGGCAGCTTTTGCGGTCCGCTCAAACATGAAACTGGTGCTAGCAAAGTAGCATACCCTTACATCGGAACTGCATATTAGGAAGGCACCAAACTGTGCTAAAGACAAACAGCGGTTAGAGATCATGGCGCAGAAGTCTCGGAGCATCAAGAGTAACAGCAATCCGGTCAACACGTGTGGGGAGCATGCACGGTACCGGAATAATAATGGCAGCTTCATATGACACACTATATTTTGACGCTGCAGCACTTGCGCAGCGCTTTCTACTCGTTCTAGGCGCTTATATTAGAAGGGCTCTATGCGCCCGCTCCGTCCATGTGATACACCAATGCTGTAGATGGACAGATCGCTGGTGTTATCTAGGTCACTCCGCCGCACTACAACGGCAGGTTACCGATGTAACCTTGACGCCGCGGTATCGGCAGGCTCGTGAGGGACTACTGCCGCGTTGTTGAACTGGGCCATCCAGAGCAAGATCAACAGGACTCTTGTAGCTGCAAGAGTGAGTTTATTAGTGCCACAATTTTTCGCTCATGTTTCACAACAATCTGATTTGGATTCTCTACAGATGGGATCTCGATCTTTAGGACAATTTACGCCAATGTTTTTCATGCTCAGTGTTGAACCCGCTCAGAATTAAGGCCTTAGCCGACTTTTGATGGGATAAATCTAACCGATGAGATTGAAAGTCGATGGAGTCCGAAGGGCGGCGCCGGCCGCTGGGGACCTCGCTTACCCTATCCCGCTGATATACAATTTTTCTATATTCATCTTATCGTCGCCGGTGGGTTAAGTTGATGTTGTTGTTCTCCTGTCTGAGGCAGGGTGCGTACCCACAGGAATGTTAGAGTGTTTTTGGTGACCAAGCAGGTTCTTTCCCGGCGTCAGCGCGTTGCCAGTAGTACAGGGAGACGAGATTGGAACCTTCGGACCACCAATCTGCTTCGGCTGTATGACACCCACGACCGGGACTAGACTAAAAATACGTCTCGCAGCGCCTTCGCCTGAAACCGACACTCTGATTAGCTTCGGGCTGGTCGAGCAACGAAGATCTGGGATCTTCTTCCGCGGATCTGGGCCTTGGTCGTGATCGCATCAAGTCGACCCTGATGGGGAAGTGCATACCGGTCTGATCCAGGATTAGTATGTTTTGTTAGTAAATTTCGACTCTCGAACCTAGATCCTTGCTTGTTAGTCGCTTAGCTCGTTTTGCCGTCTCTTTGGGTGGTCACAACCAGATTACGGTAACAGGTGGTATTTTAGCTTCGTGGGAGTACTTAATTAACGGGTGCTTGCAACGTCAGCACATGGTAGTCTCTCGACGTTTTGGACGACCGGACTTTCTTTTGCGGGGGGGGGGGGGTACGGAGCTGTGTACCATTTGCAGCAGCGAACTAGAACCAGAAATTATGCGCATAGCACCAAAGTTCTAAGCTATACAAACCTTCTGGTGTTCAATCTGTCTCCCGCTCAAAATAGTATCTATATATTTTTACAGTAAAGATAGCGGATGGACAATGTAAACCCTATAACCTGAATTTGATTCGTTACTAATACAAGGTGTATATAGAAAATGCACGTTACCATTATTAGAACTAGAAAACGACCTTTCGGAGTCGTGTGATGAAGCGCCTCGCCCAATAAGAACTGAACGCGATGAAGAACACGAAGGCGTCGATGGCAGAAGCTGCTGCTGCCCATGCATTACACAACACCCCCCCCCCGCAAGCGCAGCTTCCTGGGTCGTCACCCGAAGAGCGTTTAGCTAAGGCCGCACAGGCCGCGCTTGTACCTGAGCTGGGTGAGCGGTAATGCCTTCGTGAGCAGGTCCGCAGCATTCTCGCCACTAGAAACGTACTCGAGCGCCATAGTGCCCTTGGTCCAGGAGGCTTTCAGCGCGTGGAAGCGGATGTCTACCGCCTTCTGGGAATTTGACGATCCTTCGCGCTTGATGCGGTGGATTGCTGGAATGTTCAGAGTGAGCTTGATCTTCTCAGCATGACCAGCAAAGATTTCGTCCACGAGGAGCTTGATCCATTCAACTTGGAGGAGACGATCGTTGGCAGAAATGAATTCCGCAGCCGTGCTCGATTGAGCGACGACACTTTGTTTCACGGAACCCCATGCGACCGGAGCACCGAATAAAAATATAACGTGGGCAGACACGGACTTGCGGTCCACGCGGTCGTTGGCGAAGTCGGCGTCGGTCGCAACGCGAATATCAACTTGATCAGGTTTCAGCATCAGCGTGAGTTCTTGGGTACCAGAGAGGTATCGAAACAGGTACTTGACGACATTCCACGCCGTTTTGGTCGATTTTGCGCAGTGACGAGCAAGCTGGGTGACCGTGAAGATGATGTCGGGTCTGAAGACACTTGCCAGGTATAAAAGGCTGCCGACGGCCTCTCGGAAAGGCACCCGCTTCATCTCTGAGGCTTCGTCTTCCAAGCGCCCAGTCACTAGCTGATCTAGCCTTGTGTTAGGTACCATCGGTGTGTGTGTTTCGCGTACAGGTTTCATGGCGAAGCGGTGCAGCATTTCTTCAATGTAGATTCGTGAGAGTTGAATTGCCCCAGCCTCTCTCCGATCCACACACACACCCAGAAACTGAGACGGTTCGCCCATGCCCTTGACGTTGTACTTCAGACTGAGCGCCGCCATTAATCTGAGAACTTGAGCTTCACTAGGATGCGCCACTAAAATATCATCGACGTAGAGACATACTAACAGCAACCCGTTAACCACCCACATGTAATAAAGACAAGCATCACCTGTAGTTGCCGTCAGTCCATAGCTCTTTAGGTACGAGTCGATTTCGCGGTTCCACTCGCGACCTGCCTGCTTGAGGCCGTAAAGTGCCCTCCGAATCCGCCAGACCTTGCTCTCTTGTCCCGGTACTTCGAGCCCTTTTACTTGGCGGACGTACACAGTTTCTTTCAGCGTTGCCTTCAAATACGCGGCCGGGACGTCGCCCTGTCGAATCACCATCTTGTACTTGGTCGCAATGATGAAACATATCCGTACACACACCAAATCGGTGACAGACGCGCGAGTCTCGACGTAGTCAATCAGGAAAACTTGCTTGTCACCTCGAGCACAGACTCGTGCCTTGAACTGAATTTTTTCTCCGTCTGGACCAGTCTTGACGCGGAATTGTACGGTGTTACCGAGGACATGGGCTCCTGCAGGAGGGCCACTAGGACGTAAGTGCCATTATCTGCCAAGGCCTTCAGCTCTGCGCGGATGGCACGTTCCCATTGCGGCCATTGGGGGGATCGACGTGGGAGTGAGCGGTTCGCGGATGATCTCTGCTAAACAAATGAAAGCAGCGTTCACGGCCCTCGCTGATATCCGCTCCGAGCGTCTTCTTCTCGTCAATTAGGAGGTTCCGTTGACTTGTTCGACTTTGTTTTGAGACCAGCTGGTGTCGCGAAGACGAGCGGCAGCGTTCTCGCGGTCTCTAAATGCATCGGCTCTGAAGCGCTGCGACTGCGTGGGCGGTATTTCTTCGCCTGTTTCGGCATCTTGTGGCTCATCAGCGAGGGGATTAATATCGGTCATCTAGCAGGACTTCGTCCACCAGCATTGTGTCCAGCATAATTACGTCCGTAGTTTCTTAGGGCGTCCTTGCCCTGGAATGTAGACCCGATAGCCCCGTATTTCCTCACTGAAGCCCACGAACCCGCCAATGCTGCCTCGCCCATCGAAACGGACATTCTTTCGTCGGATTGGTTCTGGAGTTTGAACGACGGCCGTCTGACCGAAGATAGGAATCCCCGCCAGAGATGGTTTGGTTCCAAATATGCGCTCGTGCGGCGTAATGGATGACCCTCGCCTCGGAATCCGGTTTCTGATGTATGTAGCGTGCTGGAAAGCATCTTCCTAAAGATAATGAGGAAGGTGGCTGTTGATCAACATGGCGGCTGCCATTTCAGTCACTGTGCGTATAGCTCTTTCAGCAACCCCATTTTGACTGCTGCGACAGCGCGTGGTGTGCTGGTGGCGGAGGCCTTCATCTACCACCAGCTTGCGAAAGTCAGCTCCGATAAACTCTGTCCCGCCATCCGTCCGCACAGTTTTGATGCTCGCAGCAGGAACTTCCGCTTGTCTCTCGATGAACGTTAGAAACTCCGCTGTTTTCGCGCTGGCTTCGTCCTTGCTGCGCAGACCGTAAACTCGGATGCACTCGCGCCACACCACCACCATAAAGAATTCGCTTCCGTGGTACGATCGCTTCACTGGGCCACTCAGATCGACGTGGCATTCGCCACGAGCAGCCGCTTCACTCGAACTTCTCGTTGCAGGCGCAGTAGCCGTCGTGACCTTTGCCAATGCGCACAACCTGCACGCCGGAAGCTCTATCCCCTGAGAGATGACGACCCCACGCACTGCCTTCGTGGCGGCCAGTCTCCGGCAGTCTGCCATGTTCAGGTGGCCCAGACGACCGTGCCAGGTAGCAAGAGATACGTTTGTACGGAGCGCAGCCAACAGGGCCGAGCCAATTTCGCTTGGAATCAGGCCCGACTCAGGAGTGTAGACTTCATAGACCCCATTGGCTTCTCGCGCGCGAAGAACCTTGGTGCGCTTTTTGCCGTGTATGACACTCCATTCATTTTCGGCGACGCGGACGATGTAGCCACTGTGGACTAGTTGAGACACCGACAGAAGAGTAACAGACAGTGTGGGCACGTGATATACGTTCCGGATTGACAGCTCGCGAGTCTCTAGTTTGTTGCCGCACCGAACAACAGCGCGAACATTGAGAACTGTCCTGATCCGGACAACCCTTCCATCAGCGACGGTGACCGTTACGGGTGGGTCGATAGTTTGCAAGCACGTCAGGTCTTTTAGCCGGCCCGTCAGGAGGAACGACGCCCCCGAGTCAATTAGAACTCGTTCCCACCTGACGCCAGCGCTTCAGGCTCTGTCCTCGTTCAATGCAGAAGCCGCACTCCCTTGTAACCGTGCTGAAGTCTGGTCTCTTCCCTTCTTGTCGGGGCAGTCTAGCGCAAAGTGACCGGTCTGGTTACAGTTAAAGCAGCGGATATCTTCTCGGTTCTTGCGACTTGCGCTCTCCTAGTGGCGTGGGCGGTTTCCGGAGTGAGCCTTCTTGTGCTTCTGTTCTACTAGCATAGCTGCGGCGTTACCCGACTTCACTGCTGCCGTACCTGGTTCCACCCTCAGGCGCTTAAACCCCCCGGTCCCGACTGGGTGGCTCGTTGGCTTTGTAGGCAGGCGACCATCACTATCCGCCATGTAGGGGAGATGATCCACCAGTAGCTGCAGCTTTTGGGCCGCAGGTGTCGTGACTGCGAGACGTCCGCCGTATGACTTCAACTCGTCGGAGTACTTATAGTAGGCTCACTTGATGAACGAGTGGATCGCCTGCCGCGCGTTCGCTTCCACAGCCAAGCCTCCAGGGAGGGAGTCAGCCATGTTTAGCAAGCGCTGGGCATACTCTTGGCACGGTTCATGCCGACGCTTGGGCTCCAGCATAATCCGGCTCATGAGCTCTTGCTCGGGCAACTTGGACTTGTACTTTTCGATTAGCCGAGAGCCAGCGCGCAACAAGGTGAGGTCAGAATGCATCATGCGCAGCTCCGAATACCTGTCAACCGCGTTTCCAGTGAGCGATGCCGCGAAGATGCTACGGCACCGAACGTCACTCCAGCGATGACCATCTAGAATCTGCGCGTCCGACAGCTGATCCAAAAACTTGCGCTACCAGCGTCGGACGCCAAAGTCGAATGACCCAGGCGCCACAAACCCCGAGAACAACTTGACCGTAATGTTCTTCCTGCTGGGCTTGCCGCCCAGCGGAAGAGACGCCACGTCGGAGCCAGACACCAATAATTCGCCAGCTGCGCGGTCATTGGCTGGAAGTTCTGGGAACTGGAAAATAGCTCGGTCGCGTAGCGTGGGGGCTGGGAAGCTTTCTGGCGCCGCGTGACCTTGCTGGCCTTCGCCCATCCGGTCTCCGCTTTGGGTCTCGCCACGTGGCCGTACCGCTCGGTCGTTTTCGATCTCCCGGTCTCCGTGTACGCTTCCATCACGTGACCCGGGCTCTTCCTCGCGCGGGGCGGGAGGGGATCGGTGCGCTGACCGTCCCTGACGTCCTACCACGGCCCGGCGAGCTTGACGAAGCCTCGGCGTTGGGGTGACCTGCAGCGGGGGGTGGAGAGGAGCTTCCGAGGAATCTTGAGATCCCGTGAGCGCGGCGATGAAGGGGGGAACGACGTAGCGACATTTCCAGCTATAGGTAGAGGCCAAGACTCTTAATCTGTTGAGATCTGTGAGCTAGGAGGTAAAATCCAGAATGAATTAATGTTTTAGCCTGGGCCTCTGTCTACCTTCCGCGCGTGTGTGAGCAATCAATCTAGCCAGAAGCTGCTGCTTGCCCATGTATTACCCAACATAAACCCTATCGAGAACCACAAGAGCGCTGTCAAGCACTTTCTGGCGGGTCAGTGCCCGATCATCTGCGCGTACCAGAAGGAATGACCAACACGGAACGCTGTACAGGATCCCTAAGACCTTCTAAAATTGTCAAGCCGGATCGAGTGTTCCGTGATTAGTAGCCTCACCACCAGCATGCCCGCTATAAATACGTGCTAGTTGGAGCTTAATTTTGGTCAATTGGATTCATTTTTGTTGGGGGTAATATGATAATATTACTGAGAGTTTAGTATTAGCAAACAGCTGGTCTTAAAAATCCCCCAAAATAATCTAGGATTTTCGTTTGTTTGTTTGTTTGTTTGTTTGTTTGTATATTTGTTTGTTGTTGTGGGTGGGGGGGGGGTACAGTTAGTTTAGGGATGAAGGCAGTTCTCCAGGTACTCCGAACGATTCAGTCCAGTACAAGCACTACACAGCTGGCTAATATAGGAGTTAACACACAGCTCTCGCCACCTGGTGCTCGTCTGCATCGCTATCAGATCCACTTTCATCGCGCTCACATTGCGCCTACTCGCCAAACTCCGATGCAACGCTTTAAAGCCAACCAACCACTGACAAAACGTTAGCTGTATCCAACCATGACATTCCATCTAGCATTTTTATTGAGGATAATACTACCATGTTGGCGTCCTCGCCGCGTTTAAGTCGGACATAATCACACCACGCTTTGGTTGGGTAACGGCTCCAATCTTGAAGACGAGCATCATTATCAAACTCACTTGGCACATCGTCTAAATCCTAGGATCTGACTACAAAAGCGTCAGCTGAGTTTTGTTTACTATGTATCACAGGAAGGTGGCAACCCCGCGCTGAATAATACCCTCGGGTTATACTTTGCGAGGTCCTGCACAACCCATCAGGGTAGGATGACAATCCTTGAGCGCGGTGCTCGACCGGTGGGATACTCTCATTGAACCAGCGGTGATCAACGGCTTTGTCAGGTAAACACTTTAATTTTAGCCCCGCACTCGCAACAACCATGCGATGGTGGAACTGAAGATGTTTGTTGAAGAAAATAAACACGACCAACGCCACTGAACTTTCTCTCGAATGCCGTCCGTTATTACTGCCTACTTGTTCTCGCCCGTTGGTGCGCAGCGTGCATTCTTAATGCTATCAACCAAAACACCAAATTGCTTACAAACGTAGCTGTAGTCGCTCCACCTAATCGCGGCTCCGGTGAAGTTGAACGAACCCGAGCTTACGTGAAGCGAGTGTCATATATTCTTGTTAAGTGTCGCCAAAACCTGGTGAGGGACTGCAACCTCATGAGCGAGTCGTGCAGTGATGAACTTGTTGCCGCGGGTTCAGTGACTTGTTAGCTGCTTCATCTGGTTCCGTTACGCCTCATGTCGACGTGTTTCTATCGAAACATATTTCTTCCAGCGAAGCCCAACCATATATCGGTGCATGACTTCCAGGTTTTGTCGAAATATTTCAGCAAGAAACAGCAGGGCTTTCGTTGCGATCAATTGGGAACGAACATTCAATGCTGCGTTCGGCTAGACATCGAGAGTGGAAATGGACATAGTTGCAAGCCGTTTTGAGGGAAATGGTCTAGCGCGGATGGGGTTAACCCATCCTGATGGCTGCTCAATGCTCAATCCATGTTCAGCAATTAGAGTCCAACTAACGTTCAAATATATATTCAGCAAAATTTACTGTCTGAATAAACACTCTTCGGAGCTGTAGAACCCTCGGATACACTGACATAATGGTTGGCGTCGAGACGTACGTATTGTGTGTTTGCCTACTGCTACTCACACTGGACAAGCAACTTACTACGCCTTCGTGTGGCTCTTCGAAATTAGCACTGCAGATACGACTTCCGCCAGCCATATCTAACCTTACTTTTTTTATGCCGTTGCACAGCTTTGACGGTGTCGAGTCCGCATCATAACTTGAAGATTGAGTTCAAGTAAAACGGCCACCATTTGTAAGCAGACGCAGCATTTTTTCCTCAAAAAGTTTTGTACAGACATGTTATTTATTAGCCATACAAGTTTAGGTGCCTTTTTAAAAGAAAAACTCCATTTAACACTGGCTAATTGGGGAAACCTTACCGCAAATGGCCCGTTTTCGTGACACGGTCGATTTTGAGATTGTCAAATATTTTGCTAAGGAACGCAGGGCTTAATCCATCTTACAGTATATTTCGTGATACTCGAAATGAAGATAGTCCTGTGGTTAAGATCACCCTACAGCGCTAGCTATCGAAGGTTAAACACTTGCATTGGGCCGTTTGCGTAGCAAGGTGGCCTCAACTTTTGATTATGCAAATCCGATCGTTAGCCGATTGCGTCTGGTTGTGCCTAATGCAAGCGATATGATTGGCCCGTGAGGTTGCAATGTGGCGACAGCAAGAGTCAAGTTGCTTTTCCACTTAAAAGCCATTTCATCCGCCCATGTCTACCCACTGCATGACAGTTTAGCAGTTTAAATTATGTGTTTAGTAAGATCACATTCTATTCTGTAAGGGCATGGTTTGGGCTTTGATTTATGCTGGAAAGAATTTCTAAAATGCCAGGGGCCAAATTGGCTAAATCTACGCGAATGTAGTAAGCTGAAGGGCGGATATTACCCAACTGTAGACGCACACACATTGGCATACGAAGGCAACACCACTTGTTGTAGTCTCAAGTTAGTCACGGGCATGTCTAATAAGCGCAATGGCGGCATTAACCGCTTTTAAAGAAGTTTAAAAATGTAAATCCCGAAAAGCGGTAGGTTTTTTTCAGCCAGACAGTGTTAAAGCACCTTTAATCAAATGACGTAGCATTGCATTAAAATCGTTCTAAATACCTCGGATGTGACGCTGATTCAAAACCAGAGTTCTTCGGGAGGCGGAATCTCATTCTCGGATCACACATCCCCGGCTCGAAACCGAATGCCGAGATCCAAGATTGGGTGTAACGTGTGTCCCCTACTCTTGTAACGCCTTGTCCCGGTTTTTTTTCTTTGGGACCGGACATGCTTCTGCAGTATTAGCTGTCCAAAACCACTAATGCCTATAATATATGGCACGAGCACCCACACAGCCGGCCTCGAGCCAATTCAGAAGGGACAAGCGAAGGAGATAGAGCGGTCAAGCACATCGTTCCGGTTAGACGCCCGGGTGTGCTGGAGGATAAAAGACACATGGCTGGTCACATTTAAACGTTCGAAAAATGGCTGGATCGCTTTATCAAGTATTTTGCTGTTGTGTAAGGCTCACTGAACGCCATTATCGTTCAGGCTGTACAGCGTAGTTTAGGTAGGCTCAGACCCGGGAGGCAGGGGGGGTAGCTTATGAAAACCTGAAACTTACAATACTTATAAGCTCAGTTTGATGTGAGGCCTTATGCAATCCTTATAGGTATCTTCGGATGCCCCATTACCTCAACCTTCAAAAACGCGGGAATATGAATGCAAGCGCACACCGCAACTAGGAAGTGAAACAGGGTTGCCAATCCGGATGTACAATATGTTTCGAGACCTGACTTGACATGACGCTACAGCCGAGAAGTTTTCAAGGTTCTTAGATCAGGCGGTACTAAACACTTTCAGCGCAGCTCTGAACGGTACGCCCTGTCATGGGATCTTGGGAGGTACACTCTCTTGTTGGCGGCAGTACTTAGAGGAATTACCATCCTCGAACCACATCAGCGGCAGCTTGGGTGTCGAGGTAGCAACCACGGTACCGTAGCTCCATACCGATATATGTTTATAGTACAGGCATCAGCCTCAATCATGGATGCCAGTACGGGAGCATGAAGCGTTGATGCTGTTGGTCGAGATTTCGGATCTAGGGTAGGATCTAATGACGATTACTAGGTATGAATATCTACGATGTAAATCATTGCTAAATCTAGTGCAAATAAGCACTTCCGCACCGCTCAATTTTCAAGTATCTTTAAGGCTTAGGTTATCGCCTGTTGTTCTTCAACCCAGTCCACACCGTCTGTCGCAGCATGCATAGAACACCACTCAAGCATTACTGGAGCTGAATGACACCACCACTCATGGCATTGTGAGCATAGGCCACCGCGCGAGTAGCTTCACGCACGTGAGCCCATGAAGGTATGCAAAAAGCATTATGAGCTCCGTCGCTAGCCCGACCTCGGTAGAACAGCAAATGCTTGGGTAACGGAAGGCTAACCCGGCCGGACAAACAGTGACAAAACACATGCGACTGCCATTGAATGGCTTTTATCAAGAAGGCGGCGGGGGGAGGGGTATTAGTATTGAAA